CGCCGCGCGCATCCAGTCGAGCAGCCGTGCGTGTCTGCGTGTGTTCGCACGCGACGCCGTGCCGACACCGGCGGGCGCACACCAGGAGGCGGGGGCGCAGTAACAGGTGGCTCCGCGTCGCGGCAGGTGAATCGTCGGACCAGCTCGGACTGGGTTTTTTTGTGCGCTTCGCTCGACCGCGGGTACCCCCGCTCGTTCCCAGTCACCCATCATCTTCCATTGTTTTCGCGCTGCTTATCTCGATCTTACGTTCCCTCCGACCCGTGGAGGATCGCACCAGGTAGACCAGCATCCCGTTTGCCATCCCGACACTGTGTTTCCCGCAGTTCCCTGTACGGAGGAATGACGTGCTCGATGACGCGACGACGTTACAGCTGGACGGCACCCTGAGGTGAGGTTCAACGACGTCGTCTACGTCGGTGCCGAAGAGGCGACAATTACGCGAGGAGTCCCGTCGCATCTGCGTCGACGGTGGGCCTCTTGACAGACGCATGAAAGATCGGAGCTGCGGCAAAATCAAGAGCGAGACAATGCCGCCGTCCTCGCACACCAACTGGACGAGGCCGTTGCTCAAGAGTGGACAGACAATGCAGATGCAGGTTGCTAGGCAGCAGCAGCCGACGGTAACAATGGCAACGACGACGTCTTCGATGGCTATTAGCACTGGAGCACAGAATCAAAACACAGCGGAGCATCCTGCGACACCGCTTGACAAGAGAATCAAAGTAGTCCTAGTGGGCGACGGTGCAGTCGGTAAGACCAGCTTGGTGGTCTCATACTCCACCAATGGTTTTCCTGGGGAATACGTGCCAACTGCATTTGACAATTACAACGGTGTGTATACTTTTTGCATTTATTTACTAATGATGTGGCTGTAGCCTTTGGGATTGTGATTTATGGGTATGCTTTGTACATATCTTGAATCAACATATACGTATCTTGTATAAAGTGTAATTTTTAAAGAGTAATATAAGCATGTTAAATGTTATAAGATATTTACATTATTTACCTTTGCTTTTATCCTAATTGATCTCTTAATTGTAATTTTAATTATATCATTTAACATTTTATTTTGAGCAAATAGATAAGAATGTATGTATCATTAATAGATAAGGATATATCAATTCAATAATATTAATATCTTTGTAATATCTATCCAGTGGTCGTAAATGTCGACGGGCAACCATTGAATGTCCAGCTATGTGATACAGCAGGCCAAGATGACTTTGACCCTCTGAGATCGTTGTGCTATCCTGAGACAGATGTGTTCCTAGTTTGCTTCAGTGTTGTATGTCCCTCGTCTTACCACAGTGTGGCTTCCAGATGGATCAATGAAGTGCGAAAATACTGTCCTAATGCTCCAATAATTTTGGTACGATTTGTGTCCAATTCTAACATAATTTTCCACACATATTTCTATTATATATATATATATATATATATATATTCTAATATTCTAATCAAATTCATAAGAATTTATTGATATTGTCATAATGATATTAGAAGTAATAACAATTATAATAGTAATTATAATATATATTATAATAAAATATATATTATATCGTTGCATTGATAGAAAAGTGATACATCAAAATTAGCAATTCTTCAGTAGACTATTTTTTAAGTTCTCAATTGGAACGTTTTAATTAGACTAGTGAATATTCATTATTGTACTGTTTCTTTCTATATTATACTTTCAATTATCTGAAAAAAAGTCGAAATATTTGCAAGTAAATGTTATGTGCCATGTTTCCTTTGATATTTATTGATTATGAAAAAAATTGAATGATGACGAGATATACATTTTTGTGAAATATCTTTTATTAATTGTAAAAAAAATGAAATAGATGGTTTATTTGCTAGAAATAAAATTTTATTTCGCCGTATTTAAATAAAAATTTATTTTAGTAAAATAAATATTATATCTCACAAATAAGTTTTTAAATATTTTTTTCTTAATGTATGTATTCTTAATTATATACGTACTGTTTAAAATTGTATCATGAGTTTTCAAAATTCGGACATTAATGCAATCTTGATGCTAATTTTTTATTTGTGCCACTTTTTCTATTAACGCGACGATATAATATATATATTTATAATAGAAATTATTTATGTTACAATTTTTTAGGTGGGGACAAAAAGCGACTTAAGATCGGACGTACGTTTGATGCTGCAACTGGCGCGATATGGGCAATCAGCGATTACTACTATTCAGGGCCATCAATTGGCGCACAGACTAGGCGCCGTCAATTATGTAGAGACGTCTGCATTAACGCAACACGACCTCAAGGAGGCCTTCGATCAGGCGATAGTCAGTGCCCTCAATACGCGACGCGGAGGCGCCAATTTATTATACCGGCGTAGGAAGCCGCCCCCGTTATGGCGTAGATGGTTGTGTTGCTGGGAACGGCCGTCTTCGAGCGAAACCTAAACAATCCCTACTTTAAGTGATAGGACTCTATACTTTTTTAGAATCCCTCTGTGATCATAGGCGGTCGCCCTCCTTTCTGTCAGAATCGTCATCCCTCAGCATGGCATACTCGGTAGCTAGCGTTGGTTAAGGATTATGCAAAAATAGAGCAGCTATTACTTTGTTATTTAGATTTTAGACAGGACGATTAATAGATACTCGCGTGAGTGAGAATCGAAAGCAACCCTGTAGTTACATGTGATGCTTTAATACGGTTCACTCGGTTCATATCCATGTATCATTTAACGTGCAATTTTATATGTATTTTAAATACGTTTTTCACGCGTTTCACGAACTAACAAACTGCCAGAATAAAATGCCAAAATATGATGTTGGTAAAGCCGCCAGAAATAACGATGCCTAATTCGAAAGAAAAAATAAAGGATCCATAATATTAAGGGTTGCTCGGCAATATCGCGGTACAGTTTACAAATATATGAGTGACTTCGTCGAGAGTAAACGTTAATCAAATTAACAATTCCGACAGACGGAGCAAGCGAGTGCCGCCCTCGTAAAATTCCTGAAGCCGCACGGCATAATTTATTGTAATATTAATCGTATTAATCATTATTTTTGTTACTAGCATAATAATTGGCTACTCGTTGGTTGTGATTTTTCGTGTACGTAATATCCTTGTTTCGTCACGGTAAAAATCGGTTGTTTCCCATTTATCCCCTTCTCCTATCAAGGATATTAGGTGGCTTTTATTGCGACCACTATAGCGTATAACAATTGTATATTTTTTACTTGTTGCAACTTCTCGTATATATATAAATATATATTTATTTTTTAATATCTTTGATATATCGGTATTTTAGAATAAAGGTAGCTTTAACCGAACACTTTTTGCAGATCGACGATATGATCGTGACATCACATATAGAATTTATATATAGTATATAAGTGTTCTAAGTTCTAATAATGGAACAATGATATTTCGTAAAATACGATTTTTTATATAAGCATATGTGATGTAGTAACGTTTGTATGAGCGATATCAACCGTATAAAAAAATATTAAATACAATGAGAAAGATAAGCACGAGTACATATTCGACGAATAACGAACGTACTCGAGATTGCTAGGAAGATTGCTGTGATCTTACTTGAAACTTTCTGATTATTCTATTGTGTGTTGCATATGGAATTGTATGAATAAGACTGCAGAAAAGATTCAAAGAGACTCTGCACAGTATCATAGTTTCAATCTGCTGTAACATTTCATCTCCATCACATGACATCATCAAAAATAAATTGTATATAAGTATTTATTCATCGAACAATGAGAATGATTTTTGTGTGTCATTTTATGATTAAGTCTGTCAGGAAACATCCCGATTGGCACAACTCTATCCGTATCGTTAAAATATAGAAAAATAAGAACTAAGTAATTGTATCGCTATTAGATAAGATATTAAAAAATTAAAAATGTGCCAATCATTCTTCTTGACAAGATGTGCGTCATGATTAAGATTAGAGATAACATTTCTTAGAGCTTGCCTCTTTAATTTTTCTGTATTTCACAAAATTTTAATTTTTGTATCTTATTTTAATTTTCACTGATTAGTCTTTTTTTTTTAAATTAATACTGCAATCTTGTATTGTTAACAAAAGACAGTACAGAGTTATAATTTGTCATATAAGTTATCTGTTGATACAAATTTATTTTAAACGAAAAACCTTTGCTTTAATATAATTTTTATTGATTACTGATTAATATTGATTTTTTTAATTAATACTACAATTTTGTATTATCAATAAAAGACAATACAAAAAGTTATTAATTTACTTAAGTTATCTGTTAGTACAAGTCTGCAGCTTTGAGTAAGAGAAGTCTTTGCTTTCTATTTTATCAATAGTGGGTATATTCCATGAGAATTGCTATCAATACACGGTACATCGTAAATAGTATAATAATAGGAATGGGAAGGAAAGGAATTCACGACTCCACGTGCGCCTCGCGTTCCCTGAAAAACGATGGCGAACCGAGTGGTCGGCAGCTCGACGGTAAACACACCTAAACAATTGTATAAATATCTATTGCGCGAATGCGAAAAACTACCGAAACACACGCAGCAATTTTACAAACACTCGGTCAAGCAAGTAAGTACAAAATGATTTTCTGATATAATGATAATTTAACAAAAAAGTTAAGAGAATGTTAAACTATTAAGTCTCTTGACAATTATTGCAATTTTTGCAAGAAAAGTGATCTTTTCTACCAAATTGTTTATTAGTAAAATAAACTTTTGTTATTGAAAACGTTATTATTGGAGACCAAAAAATTTTTTCCTAGAGCTTCAAGCAGCATGTCTCGGAGTCCGATGAGGAACGCATCCAGCAAATCATGGAGAAAGCACTATTAGATGCCAAATGGGTGATACAAAAGGTACTCTCGCCGTTGACTTGTATTAAATTCAATATATGAATATCAATATAATAACTGCTACCTTTTTCTTTACGACAGTACAACCAGCCAGGTGGTACTCCAACGCCCAAATGATAAATCGACACAAGTTGTAATCTACATGAAATATATATGGTATTAGTATATTAGATAGAAAAAATGAATTTTGAAGAGGTCGTTAGTGAGACTACTAACAGCAGTAACTCACAGTTTTGGAAAGCCATTGGGATTTGGATGAGAAATCCTCATGTTGTTAATCGTCGGATCCTAGCATCCCAAGAGCTATTAACGGTCCAAGTCAATTGCGACGTTTTAGATATTTTCGAACATGTTGAAAGGCTGAAAATTCAACCTGATGATTTTGAGTGCGACTCATCCTCGGGAGATGTAAAATATTTATTAGACGCTTTAGATATTGCGGAATATTGCCAAGTTCAATGTACAGATCCAATCGAAACTGTAAATGACGATAAGATTTATCTATGTGTGAAGAAACTATTGCCTCGAAATACACAAATATTCTCACCTACGTTGGAACTCGTATTTATTGACAAAGGATCGGTTAGCGTTACCAGTTTTCACAAACCGATTGTTCTAGGTAAACAAACTTTGGGTCTGAATGTACCCTACAGAATACAGCATCACCAGTATGCATCTACATGTATAAACGTATGTAAATCGAATGATAATTACGGCAAAAGCTGCGATTGGCTCAAGTCCAAGTTCTTTCCACGGTTGATGAAATGGATGGATAGTGAGAACGATAACGCCGGTACGAGGATCAGCTCCCTTAGTCTCATCTCCGTCGAGAAGTACACCTTGCTGTACAATCAACTGAAAGAGAAGTACGGCACGGGAATGGTGAACGTGTGGCCGGAGAACACTGACCCGGCGAAGTTCGTCTACGAGGATGTAGCGATTGCTACTTACCTGTTATTACTCTGGGAGAAAGAGAGGCTGGAAAAGGGGACGCAGGAGCTGCAATCGTTCGTTGATCTCGGCTGCGGAAACGGCCTTCTCGTCTACATCTTGTCTAGCGAAGGTCACACAGGGACAGGGATCGATTTGCGCAGGAGAAAGATCTGGGACCTATTTCCAGAGAGCACTCATTTACAAGTGTGTGAAAAATTCGTTGCAACAGTTATCTACTTAAATAAACTTAGATATTATGTCAGTCCATAATTAAAACCCTGCATTTCTCTTTTATTAACAATTTTTGTAATTTTATAGATAATATTTTTATTTCATATATATTAGAAATTGATAAACACAAATTTATAGACTGATATAATATTTAATAATGCTAATATTCATTTTATCATGTAATATAATTTCGTTTTAATTACATCAGTCCATAATTAAGCTCGCGTTCTTCGTTAATAATTTATTGTTATCTTAAGGGTACTCTTTATTTCATGTGTATTAGGAACAGATAAATTGACTGCCATAAATTTAATAATGCTAATATTAATTTTTTATCGGATTCAATTTCATTTTATTTCAATAATCATATGGTATTGTAGGTCAGCACAATCATTCCATCCTCGGATACAGTCTTTCCTAATGTAGACTGGATCATAGGGAATCACTCGGATGAACTCACCCCGTGGATTCCCGTGATCGCTGCGCGCAGTTCCTATGAGTGCCGATTCTTCTTGTTGCCGTGTTGCGCTTACGAATTCGATGGTAGCAAGTATCGACGATGCAACGCTGCCGAGAGCCAGTACTCAGAGTACATGTCTTACGTTAAAAGTATTTGCGAGGGCTGCGGCTTTTTCACATTAATGGACAGATTGCGAATCCCATCAACCAAGCGAACATGTTTCGTCGGATGGAAGAGGACTTATGTAAAGGAGAATATCGCGGCGCTGGATGTCGATATTCAGAGGATCATAAACGCGAGGTCCCAGGTGGAGAATGTAAGAACTGAAGCAGGAGACAGCGAACTGTGGTCCGCGAGTTTCAAACCGAGAGACTCGACAGAACAAACACGGAATTGCACGCAGTTGGATAAAGGACTGATCCTCGAGATAGTCAATATAGTCGTGGCACATCTCCTCCGCGTGAGTCACAGAATACCGTTGGAGTGGAAACCCGGTAAAACGTGGAACGCCGGCGGACAGATCGGCATCGGCGAGGTGGCAAAGCTGATCACGCCCGGGATGTTGCAGCAGCTGCGAAACGAGTGCGGCGGGCTGCAAACCTTATTGAAGAATCACAGTCACATCTTTTGCGTCGCTCAGGGAAAGGTGCAATTTAGGATTCCCGGCATCGTTGACAGGAAGAAAAAGAGGAGGAAAAATGCTAGCGAACCTTTAAGGAAGGTGAAACCTTGTTGGTTTCATAAGAACCATCCCGATGGGTGTCCCGCTCTCGAAATCGACTGTGACTTCCAGCATTAAGTTTCTCTTGTTTTGTTGTTCTATATTGTTTTGTTGAGAAATTTTATGTACTTATCTATATTGGATCAAACGTGTATGTAACATTGCGTTTTATTTTAAATAAAAGAAAATAAATGTAAATTGTGTCGATGCTAAAACAAAAGAAATTTTCATACAACAGCTTCACATGTGATTCGGCGATATAAAATATAACAATAATCAACTAAATAAAATTAAATTACATCTCGAATGTGCAGCATACTGTTACAGCATTAGATACATAAAGCAAAACATTCATCACAGCTTTGATTTACTTAACATTCGAAATATTTCTATCCATATCTTTTCGTCATTTAAAAGCGTAGTATTTAATCATCGATAAATTCATCTGTGGCACGTTTTTAATTAGTACATTATATTACACTTACAAGCGATTTGCTTGCGAATCACAGGGTTGATTTTCTCGAAAGGACTTCTTTTAAGACATTTACTTGAGAAAATCTACCACCAGTATGTCGTCCAGGTTTAACAGCTTGGTACCGCCGCCTTGATTGTCTTGTAGAAGCGTGCCCAGCATCTGCTGGCCACTCTTCAGCTTTTTAACATCGAGCATGACCGTCTGATGGAAGCGTTTCAAATGTGTCTGTAAATTGCATTTCTGCGTGAAAAGGCGCTTGCAGTGCGGACAAGAGTACGGCCGGTCACCGGTGTGGTGCTGCTGATGCAGATGCAGCGTAAATTTTTGCGCAAACGACTTGCCACACTGCTCGCACTTGAACGGTTTTTCCCCTGTATGAATGCGTTTGTGCCGTTCCAGTTGGTACGGCTTCATGAACGTTTTTCCGCATACGTCGCACTCCTTGCTTGAAGGCTGCGTCGAAGCTTTCGCCGTCGTTTGATCACGCGTTTTCGCTTCAAACACACCGACACTGTTTGTATCTTGAGCCTGAATTTGTACCATAGACACAGGAGGCATACAATTGTTCATCTGAATAACTGCCTTGTTGCTCGTATCTGCGATCGTCGTTTCCGTTGGCACCTGACTGGTTATCACCACGTGATTGGCGTTACCTAAGTTGCAAGCTTCCTGAAAAGGATCCGGATTAACTAACTCGATCATGTTGGTTGGCATTCCGGCACCGGTAGCATCGGAACTGTTTGTTGTTGATTGCGTCAGCAGGGTATCGTCCGTTTGAAAAGTTACGAGCCCATTTGCCAACAAAAATTGCAAATTCGCAACTAGTTCGTTGTTTTCATTCACAGACAGTATGGAATTGTTATTGAGGATTGTTGTGTCGGTGTGATTAAACGCAATTTGATTCGGTAGATGAACCGCGGTACCGAGATTCACTGTTTGCTCTAACGCGGGATAATTTAGATTCTGCGATGGCGCGGCTTCATCGCTGATTATGGCAGTGGTCGTCGTTGTTGAAGCATTATCAAGAGAACTATTGCCGATTTTTTCGAGGCTGGCCGCTGCTTCCGCCACCGC